CTCTCTCTCTCTCTCTCTCTCTCTCTCTCTCTCTCTCTCTCTCTCTCTCTCTCTCTCTCTCTCTCTCTCCACTACCATCCTCGGCGCTGGACTCCTCCAGCGCTGTGCCTCATGGCCGATGAGCAGCGCAGCTGCAGTATCGAAATAGCGCAGCAGGGAGTCTCCAAATTAGCGCAGCAACGAAGTTCCTGAACCAGCATAATGCTGGATTTCTCCTAGTACCTTCTGTCCACGAACTGGGCAACGGCCCAGCTTATGTAGCACTGGGCCAGAACTGGAAACCCACGGCCTGCGTTCTGGGCCGTGCAGATCGAAATCCGATCCACGGTCTAGATCGCAGGCTTTGAAACTGGTTCAACCCTTGGCCTAAAACGGCCTGCCTGGGTCCCTACCGGACGTCCAGGCCCTGTCCAGGATTCAGTTTCCTGGTACCTGGCTTCGAACCGGTCCTGTGCGGACGTACCCGGCCTCAACGTCGGCCTGGGTCCGAACAGGTAGCAATCTGTTCGAAAACAAAAGAAAAGGTCCAAACGTTTTTAGGAGCTCAGCCTCTGGGCCTGAATCTGGCCCTGGTACTAAAACGTGTACCTGGCCACAAAACGGACAACAATACAACCGTTAGAAAAACAGCAACAAATAAATAAATAAAAGAATATAAAATAATCTAAAGCTGGCGTTTTTCTGATGCAGGACCAAGTAAAAATGCCATAGGGCCTTTAGGTTGCGGTGACGCGACCTGGGGGCCCTATTCCAACCTCGGGTCCCGTGAGGGGCCCGTGTGTGGGCTTTCAGCATGTAACACGCCCCCCTCCTTATGAAGACGAGCCGGGGCGCGGGCGAAGCTGCCGATCCGATGGCAGAATGTAGCGAGGAAGGCGAGGAGCTGGAGTGCTCGGCGTAGTCTTCCCTTTGCTAAGATAACGTGAGAGAACGGCGGGAGCTGTGGCCTGCAGTTATGAACGCGTCAGCCAACGGTCAGCCTTGTGGCTGCAGTAGGAAAAGTGAAGTAAAAACTCTGTTTCTTTGTTGCCATGGCGCCGGTAAGTGATGATGTAGCTGGCCTCCTGAAATCCGTCCATGGAAGGAGGGTCTTGCGTACGTCGACCGGTAAACTCGTCAGACTCCGCTGAGACGAAAGGAGCGAGTTTGGAACAGTGGAACACCGTGTGGACGGGCAAGTGAGGTGCCACCGCGATGCGAAATGAAGGCCCCTCGGGATCATCACCAACTGCAGAGAGAATGCGCCAAGGCCCCATCCACTTGGGAAGGAGCTCGCGAGAGATGTCTTGCTCAAGGCTGAACTCCGCGGCGGAGACCCAAACCAGATCGCCGGCGCGGAACGAGCAAGGAAGGCGATTGCGGTTGGCTTGACGGCTCATCCGTATTTGTGTCTTCAACATCTGATCCCGTGCCTTGACAAGAAGCTCTTGCATGCGACGAAGGAACGCAAGATGGTCGTCGCTCTCAGCTGTGCGCGGCAAAGTGGCGTCCAGCGGCGATGAGATGGGTGAACCATGCTCAAACTCGAATGGCGATATCCCGATAGCCGGATGGATCGATGAGTTGTAAGCCAACTCAACGTCTGGCAAGCGCTCAACCCAATCAACCTGGTCGGGACGGATGAGAGTGTG